TATATATATATATATATGCATTTTTTACAAAGAAACTAACTCCACGCATAAATTATTAATATAAGAATCATCTCACATTTCTTAATACTTTAAAAAATAACAACCATATTGTAACTTATATAGTCAAACTATAAATTGATGCAATGGTCATTTTTCCATTTTTTTGAACCAATTCCTCGGTGGTTGGTAAGAACAGGCAGTCAATATTTTTTATGCAATTTCCAGTCGGTATAATTGTCGTATCTCAGTATCACAGATATAATAAGATTGTGAATCTATATTAATGCATGTGTATTAGAAAACTAAATAAAATAAAAATAAAAATAATAATAAAATTATGTCAATTGAAAAACTGATAATAGTAATTATGATCATCTTTTTGTGTTACAAAACCATGGAAGGAAAAATATATGGTTCCATTAAAAAACAACATGATTTGACTTTTTTTATTAAAAAATGAACAAATTAAAAATTTTTTTTATTACAATTAATTCTTTATATATATTACAAACTAAGAAACTTATATTAAAAACATTTTGTTGTCCAATCCATCGAAAGCACCTCAAAAACCCCGATGACCGATGCGATGCGAGGAACATCCTGCATCATATAATATATATATATATAAATATACATATATACATACATATATATGCGTATAGCGAGAGACGAAGTTATGGCCGCGCCATAATTTAATCATATTCTGTATGATTACGTCAGATGACGTACTCATCCACTAACGAGCTGACGCGACGACGCGATGCGCCCCGCAATGTTTACATTTCGACAGAGCAGGTTCAACTTACGAAACGAGAAGCCGCGAGTCATTCTCACTTGCCACAGTGCACAGTGGGCAGATCCACTTCTATCCACCTTGCCTGGCTCCCGCAACAGAGTCGCAACTCGCAACCGTCAACGGTGGGGATGCGTAGGTATAGTAGTCGACGTCGTTGATGCAGACCAGGCTTGACAGATTACTAGGACTACTTTTCGCAATTTGGGCTACACGAAAAGCAAATTTGCGATTAAAAAATGGTTTCTGTGCGGTCGCAAATTAGGCTGCCTGCCTCGGTTTTCTATCGCGTGAAAAATCAACGCTTTCCACTTGAATGCATGGCAATGGCCAATCACGAGACTGACTCGTTGTTTTAATGGTTTAACGGTTGTCATATGGATGGTTAGTGTCTGGCGGTAATTGGACGATTTTACAGTTCCTTTACCAACGATACTTTTTTTAATGCATTCCCTAGCGATCCTAGTACTCCTTACGATACTGTTGCGATATTGACATAAGGTGGTATTTTCCTGTATAAGTTTTCCTCCTCCCTCACCTCCTCCCCTTCAAAAATTTGGCAAACTTTGGGCTAGAGAGAGAAGTCCGAATTTGGCGGTCTGTGCTTCTAACAATCTGACAACCCTGATTTAGAAGAGTGACTCGAATGCGTACAGACGTAATTCTATGGGATAAAATCTGGAAATTTTAAATTTTTCTGGACGAGAACTTGTCCTCTCGCGAAAAAAATTTCGCGCGGAGACACGCGGATAACGGATGTCTACATATGAATTGTAGATATATGACACTCACAATTATTGCGAGCATCTTTATTCTTGTTCAACATTTGTTTCATTTGCAAACAAGGATGAAATGATTCCAAAGCTGTCAAATGAAATAATGAGTCGCCGCATCCTTGGCGACTCACTTACTCAAGATTAAGCAATTATCTCATTGCAGTGAATCAATCGCGAACGCTTCTACAAAGCGAATTTTATCGCGAAAACTTTACGAAGCGCATATAATAATTGTTCTCAATCTTCTCTCTTCGAGCATTCGATAACTTATCGCACATTTCGTACAGAAGGAAGCGTCATCAATCGCTTGCCATCGTGTTGCAATTTAACAATAATCAACAAGACTAATCTCGAGAGTTACTCAGCTTGTCGAGGTTCAGTCAGCTTAGAAATACATAGAGAATTGTTTGTATCATCATTGCAGAGAATATACAAGCATTTGAAATATAAAAGTCATAATGATATAAAAACGTCATCGTGACCTTATTTGTCACGTACAAGTGTTCACTTACATATACAAATGACAAATAAAGTCACGATGATGTCCTATGGTATCATCATGACACTGTGTGTTCCATCTGAGGTAGGTGTGCTTAACGCACATTGTGCAACTTATTACGATTATATTTCTTATAAAAACTTGGACAAAAAAACAAATCGAGTCTCACCATACATACTACCGTTTTTCTTACCTTTCGTATCGTTACTTGCACGTTCGGTTCGCCGAAATGGATTCGCGCGACCACGTAGCGAGATAATTATTTCACCACACAACACGTAAGCAAGCCGTATTTGTTAATCGGTTCTCGCGCGGGTAACTTCGCCGTAGTGCTTAAGCAATACTCCTTCCTTATATCCTTTTTTCCCTTTCACGAGGAAAAAACAAACTTTCGAGCCTCGGATAAAGACGATTATCGGATTATGACGGTGACGCGCGAGCGCCTTTGACGACGTCGCGCGTCACCAGGTCGAAGAATCCGCACTCGTAACCGCCGTTGACATATCAGGTAGTAAAAGCAGCAACAAGTGGTGCGAGGCATTAATTGCGTACCAGCAGCACTCGCTCGAGGAGTCATGATTGCGCGGAAGTATCAATTTCGAAGGGGGAAGCCCCACGGAGTGCGCTTATTCGTGTCGCCGATTCGCCGATTCGCGCGACCTTCACGGCAACGAGAGATTCCGTTTCTCGGTTTGCCTGGCGGCCTCGAGCGAACAATTGGGGGAGGAGGCCTCGAGCGTTTACAAGTTTAGACTTTTATACGCTTTCAACGTGATCGGGTCTCTTCTCGACCGGGGTGATTCGGAAAAAACTGAAATTATTCGATTATATCTCTAGGGCACACATAATAAATATATATATATATTTTTTTGGAAAGATTATTAATATTTCAGATTGATTGCGTTGAAAGCCCGACAATCATATCGGCACGTAATTATCATTTTTGAAATTAATTCATTTAAATGGATATATATATAGTAGTTCAACATCTTAACATTCAGACCGGAGTGGCGCTTCGTGTATCTAAAGTAAATATATATGTTTTATTGGTATAGTCACATTTTATGTCGTAAATTATTGCATATTTGTCAAGTGAACTTACAAATGACAAATATGACCTTATCTGTGTCATAATAATGTCCTTACGATATCATAATGACTTCTACGTTCTATCTGAGCTCGGGACATCGGGAGTCAGGCAGGCGACAGACTTATAGTTTCGTAACTCGTTGGTTTTCTCCACTTTCTATTTCATGGGACCCATCGGGACTTTCTGAGATCGCGAGGGAAGAGGGAGGGAGGGAGGGAGGGCGAGAGAGAGAGAGAGAGAGAGAGAGAGAGAGAGAGAGAGACGGAACAGGAAGGTCGCGTCGAGATGCGCGAGACTGCATCACGGCTGAGAACAGACTCCCCGACGACCCCGACCCCACTTTGTGCACGGGACGCGCGTCTCCAGATGAGATTATGAGAATAACGACGCGCGACACCGACATCGTAATCCAACTCGTCGTCGACGAGTCCATGTACAGCACACTTCGTTGATGAGACATGACGCGGAAACATCCTGAAAATATCCTTAGGCTGCAAGACGTCCTCTGGGATGGTGGGATGTCTAATGAACTTTAGGTTTAGGTTCACCTAAGGGAGAAAAGGGAGGGGAGGGAAAAAAAAAAAAGAGTCGAGTTCGGTCGAAGCGGTGCAGCAGCGCATCCTCCGCCCGCGCCGTGAGAAAACTCGAGAGATTTTCATCCTTCTCTTCCCCCTCCCCCCTCCCTTTCCCTTCGAATTCTGACCATTTTTTGGATGCTCCCTCTTTCTTCTCTCATCTAAATAAAGATATCTGTCTATCTATCTTACAGACTTACGTTCGTGATGCTGGGCTCTCCGGCAGCTGGTCGAGGGCAAGGTCGCACCCGATCGCGATTCTTCTCCGTCTCCCACCCCTGTCTCTCTCTCTCTCTCTTTCTCTCTTTTTCTCTCTCTGCTGGAGCACAGAGTTAAACACCGAGGGTGAGATAAAAGCACCGGCGTGTTCCGACGACGACGACGACGACGTCGACGACGACGACGACGGCTCGTCACGCTCGTCAGGTATCCACGGCCGCGTCTCCGCCGCACGTCATTCGTAACAGCGTCGCACTGGGGACACCGTTCCGCCGGAACAATCGCGAGAAAAGAAGCTGCTCACTCGGCGTCGTTTGCCGCGCATCTGCTGAGTGCTGTGACTGCTGTGGCTGTGAGAGAGCTCAGAGCTGGCGGTCGAGGCGATTTCGGTTTGGACGGAACGCGGGCGCCGAGAGACGCGACCAATCGCAGACCACCTGCGCCGTCTACCGCCAGTTCCAGTACCGCCGCCTGCGCATCAGCGCTGATTAGCAGCGCGGTCTGCGCCGTCTGCGCGGTGCCAGTGCCGACGAGTGTGACGTGTCCTCACCGAGGACACAGAGTCACGAGTGACGAACTGACGGCATTGGTCACTGCGCACTGACAACGGGCCATTTCTCGCGCATTTAGCTTGGCTACATCTCCCGAGGTGACTTCTGACTTCATCGCGCCATTGTGCGTGTTGCCAGATCGTAATCGCTCGACGAGTACATAGGATTAAGCGCGGCGACAACGAGAATTCTGACTTTTTACGTTCCTGCCCTGCCGAGATTCTCGGAAATACATGCGTTGAAAAGGGAACAGGTGCAGTCCGTTCTACGCGCGTACGCGCTTCGTCCAGATATAGGCTCCCGGATCACGCGTAGCGCGAAAATTTGAAATTTTTTTAACTATCGAATCGCAATCGCGACTACATGAGTCGAGAATGATATTATATTTACTCATCTTACTGCGGACTGCGTTTGACCGGAAAAAAATCAGACGGTACATCGAAAATAAGAAAATGCAATACTACAAAGTTATAAAAGTGATAAAAAATTCTGAAAAAAATTCTTAAAGTTCTAGGAGAAAAAAATTAATGATTTTTGTCTTTTGCAGTTTTTCTGTAAAGTTGATAGTATTTGAGTAAAAAATTGATATAGTCGATAAGTCGGGCCGCTACTATGACCCAGTGAATTAATGCACTGCACTCTACAACCCACACGGCATTGAATGTCACCATACTATTACATTTGAAATCTGAAATATTCTGGTGATGATTTCAGAAAAATTCTGGCAATGGCAGAATGTCTATATGTCCGCATCTAGTAATATTCTGCAGACATTTAGTAATTTCTGGAACGTTCTGCAGATATATATTTTTATTCTGCATATATATATATATGTGTAATACACAGCACGGAATGTCACCAGAATGTCGTCAAAATATTTCAAATATTTTTTTTTACAGAATATTTTATCCGAAATATTTTTGCAAACATCTAGAGATATTACATGTAGGATATTTTATTTAAAATATTCTAGAGACATTTCGGTTGAAATATTACGTTTGCAATATTTTTTTAATATTCTGGAGACGCTTCAAATCTTTCTGAAGTCATTCATATATATATATATTTTATATATATATATATATATAAAGCCAATCAG